GGGGCTGTGCTGGGGGTACATGGGGGTCACTGGGGGGCTGTGCTGTGGATACACGGCCAGGGGCGTCACCGGGGGCTGTGCTGGGGGTACATGGGGTGAGGGGTCACTGGGGGGCTGTGCTGGGGGTACATGGGGGTCACTGGAGGTCTGTGCTGTGGGTACATGGGGCAGGGGTGTGTGATGTTAGGAGTGTAATATAATATCTCATTGAAAGGTGACAGGGCCAGAAAGAGTTAATTACCTCCCAGACTGACCTGACCCGTGGCCCAACTTTAGAGACTGGTTAGGAAGATCTGTAAATGAACAGAGCTTTGAAATGCAGCCGGCATTGTTAGAGATAGAAGGGGAGCTGTGTGCTCAGGGCTTGTGATGGAAGTAAACAAGTCTTGTCTATTGCTATAGCTTTAATTCAAAGATCAAAAAGGAATATTAACATTTAGGAAGACACTTGAGGGAAATAGTATTATTGTCGCTATGTCTCTTTGAAGGTTGTGGTAACCTGTATCTGAACTGTTTAATGGATAAATTACCCTGTGCTAATTGCCAGGGTGTTTGGAAGAAGGAGAGTTGAGCCTATTGTTTTCTCAGGCCAAAAGGCTGCAGGAAATGTATAAAGACCTTGAGACACCATCCTTCATCTCAGATCTGCTTTGGGTTTCATGAGGGGGAAACCTTAAGCCATAAGGATTGAGATCCCCAGTCACTGACTGGAGCCACCCTGAATATGGACATTGGACTATAACCTATGGACTATATCTAAAAGGACTTTTGGCAATTACAAGCTCACTTCTGCTATGTATTTGAACCTCAAGAATTGAATTCAAGTCTGTCTGTATATTGATCTTTTAACCAACACTCTCTCTCTTTTCTTTTTTTAATAAACTTTAGTTTAGTTAATAAGAATTGGCTCTAAGTGTGTATTTTGGGTCAGATCTAAGTTATAATTGGACCTGGGTATGTGGCTGATCCTTTGGGGTTGGAAGAACCTTTTCTTTTATATGATGAGATAAGATTTTCAGTAATCATCATCATATCTGACAGGTGTGTCTGGACGGAGGCCTGAGGCTGGGCACTTTAAGGGAACTGCATTATTTGGACTTCTGAGTAACCAGTGAGGTTCTACAGAAGCTGTTTTGGGCTGGTTGGTAAATCTAAGTATTGGAAGATCCACCAGCGTTCGGGGTTTGTCTGCCCCTTTTTCTTTGCAGTTCACCCTGATTGAGTGACCTCAGCTGGCTCCTACGGGCAGCACCATCACAGGGGGTCACTGGAGGACTGTGCTAGGTGTATATGGGGCGAGGGTCACTGACCAGCCTGCTGGCTCTCATGGGACGATCGCTGCATGTTCCTGAGGGTGGGGTAGGACCCTCCTGCGCCTGCCCCCCCACACACACACATGGGGAATGTGTCCCTGACCCCATCAGTCACTGGTGGATTCAGGCCCAGGAGCATGGGTCGGTGATGCCGGTTGCCATTTTCCATAGAAATGCTGTTCTATTCAGGAATGCTGCTGAGCTCTTGGCCTGCCACCTATCCAGGGGCAGAGAGTTCCACAGGTGAATTAGTCAGTCCCACTCCCTGGCCATCCTGTGTCTGTACAGCACAGTTCTCCTTTGCAAGGCAGGGGCAGAGCTGCCTGGAGCCCCACCCCTCAGCATGGCCTGGCACCTGGCCTCTCTGGCCAGACCAGGGGTAGGCAACCTATGGCACGTGTGCCGAAGGCGGCACGTGAGCTGATTTTCAGTGGCACTCACACCGCCCGGGTCCTGGCCACTGGTCCAGGGGGCTCTGCATTTTAATTTAATTTTAAATGAAGCTTCTTAAACATTTTAAAAACCTTATTTACTTTGCATACAACAATAGTTTAGTTATATATTATAGACTTGGAGAAAGAGACCTTCTAAAAACGTTAAACTGTATGACTGGCACGTGAAACCTTAAATCAGCGTGACTAAATGCAGACTCAGCCCAGCACTTCTGAAAGGTTGCCAACCCCTGGGCCAGACAGTAGCCGCCTGCTTTCAGTGTCCCTGGCAGAGCCCCCTTCGCTCCCCGCATAAGTACCATGGCTGAATTGCATTTGACTCCAAAGCTGGTGCAGGGCCTGGCTGGGTTACCTGCTACCTGCCCAACTCCGGCTCTCCCTCTCCAGCGCCCAGAGGACCCAACGTGGGTGGGGACATGGCAGCTGCAGTGAGGAAATCCCCGTCCCCACCGGCTGGACCACAGCCAGGCAGCTGCTCCTTCCTCCATTAGGAAACAGCAGCCAAGCCCCCTGCCTGGAGGAGTGTGGGTCCTGCTCTGCCCAGGGGAGAGGCCAGGGCCCAGGACAGAGAGGAGAGGAGGGACAGCCCCAGATGCTGCCCCTGGGCAGAGCAGAAGGGGGGGGAGTTCCCACGCTGGGGTGTGCAGGGTCACACAGAGGGGATGGGTGTACCCCAGAGGCAGGAAGGCCAGGGGACTGCACCGGGAGGGGCCTCCTGAGGAGGGATGGCTTGAAATGAGGTCACAGGCCAGGGGCAGACTCCAGTTAGACTGCGGGAGCGTGGGAGATGGGGCAGCAGTGTGGGGCAGGGTGGCAGCCTCCCTTGTCCCCCCTCAGGCGCAGACTCAGCCACATGGCCCATCACTTTATTGCTACAGAAAAATACAACTGTACAAAAATAGAGTTTATCCAACTTTACAAATGCAAATACGGGTCAGAATAATATAAAAGGGGGTGGGGGGCAGGACTGCTGGCCACAGGCCCAGGCCTTCATAGCAACATCAACACCCCCCCCCCCCGCCCCACGTCCGGCCCAATGTCATAAATAGGAGCCGCCACTCGAGACCAATAAATAAATAACTTAGAGTAATAAATAGTCAGTGCCCAGCATGGCCAGGGGATGCCTTGCTGGCCCCACTCCTCTGCATGGGCACCAGCGCTGGGCAGGCGACGCTGCTCCCCGTGGGGGCAGACACAGGCTGCCCAGCCCCACAGCGGTGGGTGCCAGTGCCTGGCTGTGGCCTCTGCCCTAGGCTGGGTCCCTTCCACCTGCACCCCGGGCTGGCACCTGCTCCTCTGCCAGCAGCCCTCAGGCCCCCATCACTTTCCTCTGCTGCAGCCACCCTGCTCCCCAATGGGGCCCCCAGGACGGCTCCGTGCCCCCCCCCCAGCTGCCCTGTCCAAGGGGCCGGGGCAGCAGCAGGGGGAGGGGGATGTTTTCCAGAGGGACAGGATGGGACACCAAGGGACGAGCTCGGCCTGCCTGGTTTCTAGCCCCCCGCGCCCCCTTTGCTGGGCTGGAGGCTCAGCTCCAGCTTCCCCCAGCAGGCGGGAGGAGGTGGGGAGCGTCTGGGAGGCCCCCATGCCCCTTCGCTTCCACAGCACTGGCAGCTCTTCCCCCAGAAATACGGGGGCTAAAACCTGTCCCCCTGGGAGTGGGGGGGTCCTGAGTTTAAATCCCAGGGAAAGGGGCCAGGCCACAAGCAGCTAGGAAGGGTGCACCCCAAAGCACAACGAGGGGCCTGTCCCTTTATGGGGCTCAGAGGTCAGCACAGACTCTAGGCTAGGGCCAGCCCCTGCTCACATTGCCCCAGCCCGGGCCCTGCGGCCAGCTGCCCCCCAGCCCTCCCACACACTCTGCGGCTCGGCTAGAGCCAGCCGGAGCCGGGGGACAGCGTCCTGCAGGGTCACGCATCCCCCAGGGCTCTGGACCAAGCAGGGAGCCCATGCAGCCAAGGGCCCAGCCTGGCAGCTCTGCCCCTGATGCTAGGGGGTGCAGCTGGGCCAGGAGAGTGCGCACAGGGGCTGCCTGGTTCTTACACATCTGACTCCGCAACAGGTGCGCTCAGGTTACCAGCCACCAGCCTGGGCAGCCCGTTGTTGAGCTGGGACCGGAGCGGACGCCAGCCCTGCAGCTGGCACTCCGGGGAGGGCTGGGCAGGCCGTGCCAGGCAGGCGAGGCTGGCTGTTTGGCACTGGAGCGGGCAGCTCGGAGGCTGCTGAGCGAACATGGCAGAGCAGCGAGCAGGGCCCGGCTGGCGGGCTACCTGCCAATGCTCGGCAAACTCCTAGGTCCCCAACGGCAGCACCAGCTGGCAGGCAGCCGGTGACTGGGGAGGGAGGGGCAGTGTTCAGCCCAAGCAACAAGACTCGCCCTACTGCCACCAGCCCCACGCTGGGGGTCCCGCTCCCCCCAGTCTCAGCACAAGGGGCTCCCCTCCAAGCAGCTGGGGCAGGGTGAACTCTCGGCTCCCCACTGAGCCGCTCCTCTGGCAGGTTTGGCACCGCGGCAGCCTTCGCATATCCCCACCGCTCTCCATGTGCCATGGGGCCCCGAGTCTGGGCAGCGCCGTGAGCTTAGAGTGGGCACCGAGCCTGCAGCCCAGTCAGCCGATGCACTTGCACTCAGCCGCAGAGAGCTTCTCCACCGTCTGCCAGGTGTTCTGCACGTTCATGAAGGAGACGGCTTCGTAGCGGGTGGGCCGGCAGCAGGGGTGGCTGGCCACGTGGCCCGGCGGGCCCGGCTTGATGGCCTTCTCCTGCAGCAGGGTGGCCAGCGTCAGGTCGTAGTTGCTGCGGCTGCGGTGGCAGGACCCGCTGCAGTACTTGAAGGGCACGATCTCGTCCGAGTCGAAGCCCAGCCCCAGGTCGCGCACCTTCACCATCAGCCTGCGGACGGTACAGTTGGGGCCGTCCCTGCGCCGGCCTGGTTTCTTGCCTTTGGCGGGGCCCAGGGGCGAGCGCTCAGCCCGGAGCAGCAGGTCCTTGGCCAGCTCCCCCTCCTCGGGCCCCGCTGCCGTCACGTTGTCCCCTGGGAACACAGGGTAGTCAGCCAGAGTACGCCCCCCACACACACACTCCTTCCTGCCCCAGAGGGGCTGTCTGGTGCCAGGAGGACCCGCAGCGCGGGGAGCACCCGCCTGCCCATGCACACAGCCAGGGCTCAGAGCGGGCAGGTAGATGCCAACTGGCTCCCGCGGCCAGGACTCAGCCCTAGCGTCAGCTCCAGGGGCAGGGCCCCACTGCCCTGGGCTCTGCCCGTCCCCTCCTGCGGTGGCCAGGGGCCCTTTTGGGGCCGCACTCCTGCCTCAGCTCTGGGGCTCAGGGTCACCAGGAGCCTGCCCCCTCCTGGTAGCCCTGCTGCCCCCCAGGCCCCGAGCAGTGCTGGGACCCACAGTGCTCTCTGCTCCCGGAGCGTGAGGCATGACACAGGGGCACAAGGGGCCTGCCCTTCCCTGAGCGATACTGACCCCAGGCACCCCCACAGTGCCTGGTCCTTCTCCTGCCCCATGCCCTCCCGCTCACCCCTTCTCCCACACCCACACCTACCGGAGAGGTGGCTCCAGGCTGCGGCGAGCGGTGCCTCCAGGCTGTCCTCTGCTCCGGGGCTGGCGGTGCCCACGCCGCCCGCAGTGGGTGCAGCCCCCAGGGTCGTGTTGCGGTGCCAGGTGTGCGGGGTTCCCGTGGCCACGCCGCTCAGCAGCGACAGGATGGCGAGGGCACCCCACAGCGCCCTCTCCTGGAACACAGCACAGGCTCAGCATGGCAGCAACGCACACAGGGTGTGGGCCGGGCGCAGGGCGGGATGGGGTGCTCCATGCGGCAGCCCCAAAGGCAGGGCTCCCAGCCCGCCCAGGAGAGGGCCAGAGCCTGGGAGTGTGGGGGGGCAGGAGAGGTCAGGCCAGGGGAGGGGAGCAGGGCCCACAGGGGAAAGCCAAACGAGCCAAGGCTGCATACCCCTCACCTGGGCCCTGCTGCCCCCAGCCC